AAAACGTGAGCACGAGGCTCTAATACCAATTGAAAGGATCAAGATGCCCAATAGGGGGGGGTGAATTGGGCTAATTCTAAATTTCTTCGCAATAAATAAGTCCTACGGTTAGCCCAATTAACCCCTTATGCCTAGAAAGTGTTTCTATTGAACTAACGCACAAAAGTTTAGCAACCTAAGTTCCAATCCTACTCTAGCATGGCAATTCTATGAATTTAAATGACAAGAATTGAATTGCTCAAAGTAAATGCTCAAAGTAAAGAGAGGAGAGGAAATATGGTGATGTTTTGCTGAGGTATCGGAGAGTCGCCACTTTCCACTAGTCCTCGTTGGAGCACCCGCGCAAGGGTGTAGCTCCCCCTTGATCCGCGCAAGGATCAAGTGCTCTCTACGGGTTGATTCTTCGACACTCCGTCTCGGTGAATCACCCACAACCGCTCACAACTTGAGTTGGGCCATCCACAAGCTCTCCGGATGATCACCAAGCTCCCAATCACCACCAAGCCGTCTAGGTGATGGCGATCGCCAAGAGTAACAAGCACGAACTGCAATTTTAATGGCACACGGGGAATTCCCCCATAAAAATTTCTCGGTGGGGCTTATAAATAGACCCCAACTGGCCATTTGGGATGTGGAGAGCTAAGGAATCATACCAAGGGTGTTGATACACCACTTTAGTGATTTCCACTTGTATAGTACTTAGTGATACATTCGGTGATTAGCGTAGGTGCTTTGTGAAGTGCTTAGGTTAGTTAGACCACCACTTATGTACTTGCTCTAGGTTTAGGCCTAGTGTTTAGTGAGGTTTGCACACCTCTTATCACTCGGTGCTTGCGCGCACCATTGTTGTACATCGGAGGGGCTTGTAGTCTTACAAGATCACACCAACCTCGTTTGTGGTGTGGCCGCCACCGTGTACCGAAGGGAACAAGGCCCGTGGCAGTTCAACCGAAAGCTTGATAGTGAAGACGGTGGGGAGCGGTCCGAGAGAGGCTTGCTGAAAGGCACACCAGAGACCCACTTGTGTGTGGAGAAGGCCCAGGGCTATCCACGGAGTTACCTGACCAGGAGCTTGGCCTTTGCGAGGGATTCCTTGCGAGGGGCTCCAATGAGGACTAGGTGGAAGCTTGCGTGCTTCTTGATACCTTGGTAAAAATACCAGAGTCATCGATGGGAGTTTTCATATCTCTACCTTACTCTTTAGCTTCCGCATTTACATTGTTTACATAACTTCTTTTGCGGTAGAGATAGCAACACACTAGCAAAACCGTAGTTGTACATTTAGATTGTTTATCTTTTTGCATAGGTTTTCCTAAGATTAGCAAAAGAGGCCATAGTTTAGATTTAGAGTTTTAAGCTGTCTAATTCACCCCCCTCTTAGGCATCACGGTTCCTTCATCGGCGAACTGCCTACAGTCCCAACATGATAAACCTCCACCTTGCCTTCTTCAATGCACTCACGGATGAAATAATACTTAGTATCGATGTGTTTACTGCGATCATGGTGCACTGGATTCCTGCTGAGTACGATGGCGGACATGTTGTCCATGAGCAGCTTCACCGGCGCCTCCTTCGTTCCCATTAGATCTACTATTAGTCGGCTCAACCAAACACCTTAGCATGCTGCTGCTGCTACATACTCGGCTTCACACGAAGACAAAGCAACAATCTTCTGCTTCTGTGATGCCCATGTAACTAGGTTATTGCTGAGGAAATAAACAACACCTATAGTGCTCTTCCTATCCTCCACATCTCCTGCAAAGTCACTGTCACTGTACCCGAGCAAGATAGGTTTTAGTTCAGTGCCCTTCTCACACTTGCAGCCATACCCAATTGTACCTTTCAAATATCTCAGGATATGCTTGACAGTAGCCCAGTGTTCTCTTCTAGGAGCCTCCATATACCTACTGACAACACCAACCGAATAAGCAAGGTCTGGCCTAGTGTTGACAATATATTTGAGGCTTCCAATAATGCTTCTATATGCTGTTGGATCCACAACTTCATCCACTTTCTTCTTGCTAAGTTTGAGCCAAGCTTCCATTGGTGTTTCACAAGCGTTGCAGTTTGACATTCCTGCAGACTCTAGTATCTTCACTGCATATGAACTCTAACTTAGTGTGATTCATCCATCTCCCTGCTTCACTTCAATTCCAATGTAATAGCTAAGAAGACCAAGATCACTCATGCTGAATTTCCTCTTCATTTCAGCGTTGAATTGTTTGATGTCACTGACACTAGGCCCTGAAATGATCAAGTCATCAACATATACTCTAACAATCAGAAAGGAATTCTTTCTGCTCCTCCTATATACAGCATGTTCCAATTTGCTCTTCACAAAACCAAGAGAAATCATCTCTTTATCAAGCTTAGCATTCCATGCTCTGGGTGCCTGCCTAAGCCGATAGAGTGCCTTCCTTAATTTAAGCACTTTGTCTCCTTTGCCCACAATGAACCCAGGTGGTTGCTGCACAAACATAGTTTTAGTTGAGTCAGCATTCAGGAATGTAGATTTTACATCCATATGGTGTACCTCCCATCCATCTTGAGCTGCCAAAGCTAACAACACCCTCACTGTTTCTATTCTGGCAATAGGAGCAAATACATCATCAAAATCCACTCCTTGACGCTGATCATAACCCTTAGCCACTAATCTTGCCTTATGCTTGACTATATTTCCCTCTGGATATTTCTTTACTTTGAAAACCCATTTAAGGCCAATAGCCTTCTGCTTACTCGACAGATCACTTACTTCCCAGGTTTTATTTGCCTCTATGGCCTGCATCTTTGTCTGCATTGCATTACTCCAGCAAAGTTCAGACAATGCCTCCTCCACAGTGCTGGGTTCTTCTGCTGCTACCAAGCAAAGCCCACTATACTCCATCTGGACCTCCTCTGTCGTATCTAGTAGATTAGGGATGGTCCTGTATCATAGTGGTGCCCCTTCAGAGTCAACAGAACTGTCAGTGGGCGGCGTAGGTGTTGATCCACCATTAGAGTGAGCTAGAGTGTGTGGTGAACCACCAGAAACACCCCCGAGCGATGGAATTGATGGAGCAAGCGAAAGCGGCGCACTCTCATCTTCAGAATCAGGCGCTGGAACAACGTCAGGCCCTATTGTCGGACCATCTACAGTGTTAGGATAGTGCACACTGAAACCGAAAGTCAGCTCTTCGGCACTGCTTTCCCTGCTTCTTTTCTTGTCTCAATTCCATCCCTTCTTCTCATAAAAAATGACATCTCTCGTCACCATCAGCTTGTTATTCACTAGATCAAATACATGATAGGCCTTCAATCCCGGCTCATTGCCGATAGAAACTCTTGGGACTAATCTGTCTGACAGCTTTGTCGCTCCTGGTCCAACGCGCTTGGCATAGGCTATACAACCAAACGTGCGCAAGTGTCGGACCCCCCGCTTCTTTCCAAACTAGGCTTCATATGGAGTTCGCCCATTCAGGCTCTTGGTTGGCGATCTATTCAGCAAGTACACCGCCACTCTTACTACTTCCCCCAAAACTTGCCTAGCACCTGCATACTCTTAAGCAAACATCGAGCCATTTCTACGATAGTTTCATTCTACCACTCTACCACTCCATTTTGCTACAGGGAATATGGTGCAGTACTATTGCGCTTGATGCCATGATCATTACAGTAAACTATAAACACACCTGAATTGAACTCGCCACCACAATCAGACCTAAACGCCTTCAGACACCGGCCAGACTCCACCTCGGCCACCGCTTGGTCTTCTTGAAGTACTGGAATGCCTCATCCTTGGACGCCAGCAACTCCAGCCACATGTAGTGGCTGTAATCATCAATGATCAGCAGGAAGAATGATTTCCCGCCTGGTGTGGGTGGCGTGATGTGCCCACACAAGTCTCCATGGACTAACTCCAGCCCTGTAGTGGCACAGTATGACAAGGTCCTTAGGAAAGGTGCACAGTGCTGCTTGCCGAGGGCGCAACCATCACACACCTGCTCCGCGCACTGGATCAGAGGTATGCCCTCCACCATCTCCTTCGCCCTCAGCTCGCACAGTGGCCTAAAATTTAAATGTCCATACCGAGCATGCCAGAGCCATGCCTCCTCGTCCATCTTGGTCATTAAGCAGACGGGCGTGGTTTGGTTCACCTTCATAACATACAAGCGATTCCTTCTCTCTGCTCGAATCAGGTATGCCCGCTTCTGGTTCTGAGCTTGGCGGCACTCAAACACTTGCAGAACACCGTCATTGATCTCAATGCGGTAGCCACTCTCCTCCAACTGACCAAGATTGACAATGTTGCATTTCAGAGATGGGATGAAGTAATCCTCAGTGAGCACCCGGTGATCCTGGTTTCTGCCAGCGATCGTCACAGCACCGATCCCGCAGATCTCAACCGTGGAGCCATCTCCGAAGCACACCACACCACGGACCGTTTCGTCCAGTGCTAACAGCAATGCCCGACACCCCCATCATATGATTCATGGCACCGGTGTCCAGCACCCACGAACCTTCATGGTAGTCCGTCGAGAATAGCATCGGCTGCTTGACGTCAGTGTTGACATGGTGAGCAGCCTCCTGCCGCTCCTCCTTCGGTGCCTTCTTGCACTCCTTCGCCAGTGGCCATAGATGCCACACTTCTGGCATTTGCCCTTTCGGCGTGGAGTACCAATCGACGTGAGTTTCACACCGGAGTTGCGCGCTTTGCCGCCGCCGCCACGTGCCCCAGACTTCATTTTCTTGGCATAGTGCCCATCGCCCTTTGAACCAGACAACGAGGACGTGCCCAACACCATGCGGCTCTTGTTTCTAGCCACCCACTCCTCTTCTGTCAACAGGAGTCGACCGACCTTGTATTTCACCTCCTCCATCAAGGGCTCGAGCCAATCTTTGGCCGCGCGCAGGCGACCCACAAGCTCCTCAATGGACAACTTCTTCATATCGTAGAACATCTCGATTGTGACCGCCACCTAGTTGTAGCGTGGTGGCACAACTCGGAGAAATTTCTTCATGACTCATGTGTCATCCACGCTTTCCTCGCCAAGACCACGCAGATCAGTGGCGAGCCTGGTGATGCGGACGGTGAAGTCGTCGATCGTCTCACCCATCTTGAACGCGATCGACTCGAACTCCGCCAACAGCTTCTGTGCATTCACCTCCTTGACACGTTCCGCACCGAGACGCATCGACTTGATTGCCTCCCATGCCTCCTTTGCCGACTTCTTGTTCAGGAGCATGTACTGCATATCTTGTGGCACACCCTAGATCATGGCACCTAGAATGAGCCGATCCCGTCGCCTTCGCACCTTATCGGATTCGATCGCATCCCACAGATACATGCCTTCAAGGTTGCATTGCACAAGCGCGGACCACTCCTGGTAATTGGTGCGGGTTAACATTGGAGATACCAAATTTCCGGCTGCCTGATTCCACCTCCGCTCCATCACCTCCTTGTTCTTGACGCTTCTGTCCCCCATGTCGTCGACGACAGTTCACTCCTCCTCCGCCTCGGGTGTGATAGATTGGATCACCCCGCGTCTTCCTGTTCTTCTCACCACCACCAACGTCTCCTCCGACAACCCGTCGCTCTCATCATTTGGTGGACTCAGTTCCCTTCGTTCCCTTGTTGAGCTGAAGGTTACCACCTGCAGTAAGCTTGTAGCTGCACTAGTTGGAGCGCAATGTTAAAATGATAAAAATAACCTAAGCTAATGAATTCCCTATCCTAGCGCAGCGGTTAAGGCCGCGCACTCATGACCCTGCGACCCACGTTCGAATCCTAGACGGGCCAAACTTTTTGTTTTTTTTCTTTTAATTTTGAATCACCTAACTACACTATGTATAAATAAATAAAAATAAAAAACTACTCCAAATGCAATTACATAACTAGCGCAGCGGTCAAGGTTGTACTCTCTAGAGCCCGAGACCCAAATTCGAACCCCGCGAGGGGCAAATATTTTTAATTTTGTTTTATTTTTGAATATAAACTAACTACACTATAACTAAATAAAAAAATAAAAAACTAAGCCTAACATAATTACTATCCTAGCGTAGCGGTTAAGGCACTACACTCTAGAGCTCGAGACTCCAATTTGTACCCCTTGTGGTGCACAATTTTTTGAATTTTTTAAAAAAATATATCTATCACTCTCGGTTCCCTTTTCAAAATAAAACCGACAGTGGTAGTTATCATCACTGTCGGTTTCTGCCCATCATTGCCTGTTTTTAAGTCGACAGTGATGATTATATATATATATATATTTCTTTTTTAAACTAAATAAATTCACGCATTTATATTCCTAGGTGCATGTCCAAACGGATTTAAATTTTTTTGCAAGCATGTACATCCAAATTATGGCCCCACACAAGATCTTAGGTTTTTCTGATTATTTTCTTTATTATTATATTTTTCTTTGTGCTGACCGGGACAAAAGAGGCCCAATTACATGTTGGACACACTAGAATGTTGCATCAACCTCGACCAAAAATTGGTCCCTAGGGCACATAAGACCCTGTGGAAAAGTTTGGCACCATTCTGAATCATTTTTGGTAGACTCAGTTCAACCTCTAATTAATCGGTGACGTCGCGCGGAAATTCAATTAAACAGCAGAAAGTACCAAACCATCTCAGAAAAATCCCAAACTTGGTGGTTCCTTCACCTGTGGCACGTGCAAGCCTGAGAAAAAATTTGACACCAATAGAACACCGGAATACAAATGAACCACAGAAACCTTGGGAACCTAGGTGTTTAGTCATTGTAACATGAGATGACTTCTATCGGTTTGTGAAGCAGGTATGTACCGCCTATGTCCAAATGGCTTCAAATGTTTTTCAAGCATGTACACCCAAATTATGGCCCCACACAAGATCTTAGGTTTTCAGATCATTTTCTTTATTATTATATTTTTCTTTGTGCTAAACGGGACAAAAAAGATCCAATTACATGTTGGGCATACTAAAATTTTGCATCCACCTCGACTAAAAATTGGTCTCTAGGGCACATAAACCCCGTGGAAAAGTTTGGCACCATTCTGGATCGTTTTGGGATAGGCTCAGTTCAACCTCTAATCAATCGGTGACGTCGCGCGAAAATTAAATTAAATCAAAGAAAGTACCAAACCATCTCAGAAAAATCCCAAACTTGGTATTTCATTCACCCGTGGCACGTGCACGCCTAAAAAAAACTTTGAGACCAATACGGCACTAGATTTTAGAGTTCTTATTCCACAGCACATGAATTACATGACAAACACAAGACGAATTAAACTTAAACCTTGCAAATTAAACCTAAACAAACACTAATTCAGGGGTGGAAGCATAGCACCATACATTTACATCAATTGATGTCACGGATTCTATAACCATAGCCATCGATGAAGGCCAATGCCCGTACGATTGCACTCTCTCGTGCCTCAAGACCGGTGACATGGTCGTCCATAGATGTAACCTACTGAACGACCATTGGCCCCGTTAGTAAATCTTATGCAGCACTAGCATCCTACAGTAGTGTGCTGACCGAGGTTCCCAGTATAGTACTCCCAGTCATACCCGAGTCTCTCAGTAGTTTGGTCTAGAATGGCCGACAAGCCCAATACAACATAGGTAATGTCATGGAGCACCACCTGCAAGCGGGCAAAAAATTGAGAGATCGTTATTACAATAACAATACAATAAATAACCATGACTCAGGTATCACTAACATTGACTTTACCACATCCATTTGGTTGTAGCTCACCCAGTATTCGCTTACTTGCGGAACGGAGACATCACCAGCACGCAAAGCTTCTATCTTGAAGTGCGAGAAATCGGGCACCTGATAGCAAATGTGCTGAAGTGCCACCAAACAGTTGCGCACGATAGAGAACTGGGCGCTTCTCCTGCTAGGCATCAGAGATCCCGTCCGTCTGATAAATTCCTGATACCCTGATGGTAGCCTCGAAGGGATGTAGAAGCTTAGTACACACGTCCAAGTTTGACCATCATCATCAGATGACGTGTTCTCAACGATGTCCGACACCATGAGCAAGCTAAGTGCTGCTTGCAGCCACTCTATCGGGGCTATCGTCTACGACATATGCAACAATGATATTATTTGAACGAGTCCATACATATTATGAAACAACACTTATTACGGAATTTAAACTACAATTATTAATTAATTAGCATCCAAAAATAAGATGTTGGAAAATATTTCATACGATAGCTGGAATAGGGTGGTTTGGAATGACCACATCAGGATCGAATGGATCCTCGCCAGGGTGGAAACCTGGTTCTTGTGGTGGAGGAGGTCTGTTCATCCCACCTAATAAAATTCAAGAAATATGACTATAAATATATATTTCATTATATAAAATGTGCCAAGTAAAATATAGCAAACTAAATAAATATAGATCGATGCATACATATACATAGCTAGAATATGGAACAGGAGAATATATATATATATATTGCATTGTACCTAATAAAATTCAAAAAATATGAATAGAAAAATATATATTGCATTATATAAAATATGCCAAGTAAAATGTCGCAAACTAAATAAATATAGATCGACAATGCATATATACATAGCTACAATGTGAGAGGAAAATATATATACCTGCAATGAAATATCCAGGAGCTATGACCACGTAGAGTAAAAAGAGTGAGAAGTGAGAGTACGTGAGACTGAGAAATGAGAGTGAAGTGAGGGTACGTGCGTGTGTATGTTCTTGGTTCCTTTTTATAGGGGGCATATCGGTTTTAAAATAAAAACCGACACTGATGGTGTTCATCACTGTCGGTTTTATAATGAAACCGACAGTGATGTAACCCTATCACTGTCGGTTTTGTATGAAAACCGACAGTGATGTGGCTGACAGCACGTACTTCTATGCATGCATGCGTCCAGCAATAAATGCATTGCATGCGTACTGCAATAAAAGTCATTACTTATGAAAAAATAGTAATCCTGTGATCTTTATGTAATGCTCAAATATTGTCCAAAAATTTAGTATCAGTTGCATAATTTCATATATGGGTACAAAAACATCGTCGTCCACCCAAAAAATACTAGATAATTAATTATTAGGGCACCATATATATGTAAAATATCCATACATGCATTGCCATTTGAAGTGACAAACATCGATATATATATATATATATATATATATATATATATATATATATATATATATATATATATATATATATATATATATATATATATATCGGTTACAGAAATACAACATAAAATAACAAAAATCTTGAAATAAAATTACATATACGATAACAAAGACATAGCACTAAAATTAAATATACGATAACAAAAACCTATTTCCGTCTAGGTTAATATTACAATCGAAGTGTATAAACACATTATAAGATAACCACCTCAGAAGCATTCTTCTAGAACCCAGGTAGGATCAAATAGCCGCCAGAGAATGCTAGAGATGGATGACGAGCTACGCCTTCAGGAGACAAGTGGAGAGGTTGCCGGGCACTGTTGAACCCACGCCTCTCCGAACTAACAATCCAAAGCACATGGGACGGTTGCCGAGCAACGATGAATCCATGTCGCTCTAGTCAGACAGTCCAGAGCACAACGGATAGGATGACTCTATCAACCTCATGGTGTCCCCAAGCTTCGGCATTGCTCTATCTTCAGAAACATTCTTCTAGTACCTTTTATGTGCACCATCCTTGCGGATGACCATGCTTATTGAAATTTATATGTGGAGGGCTTTCTCCCACAGAGAGACCATAGATGTGTATACTAGCTAGAGAGAAGTGAGAAGTAAGCATCATGATGGTGGCAAGACTTGGCTGTTGAGAGGCTAGCTCCCAATCGAGAGCCATTTTATAGAGGCTAGCAGTCGTGGTACATTTTTGTTTTTGAACTAAAGCTATCGGGATAGGTGGGAGAAGTGCTCCTGCTGTGGCGGTCAGCGGGAGCACTGCAGGCCCGTGAGGAGCATCTTTATATCACTGTCAGTTTTAGGAACCGACAGTGAAGGTGCTCATCTGTGCCGATTTTGGGAACCGGCAGTGATAGCTTGTATCACCATTGGTTTTTAAACCGAAACCGACAGTGATGGACCCTGCCATGCTGCAATGCTGCAGTTGGGATGCCGGCTATCAGAGCTTTTTTAAAATAAAAAAATAAAAAAATTTGTCCGGTCACTAGGATTCGAACCCGGGTCTCGGGGTACATAGTTTAGTGGCTTAACCGCTGCGCTAGGATAGGGAGTTCAGTTGGTTTCATTTTATTTTATCTTTTATCTTGTGTGCAATATTAATTAATAAAACAAAACATAAAAAAGTTTGGCCCATCTCGGGTTTGAGCGTGGGTCTCAGGGTCCAGAGTGCGCGGCCTTAACCGCTGTGGTAGTATAGAGAGTTCAGGTAGATTGTTTTTTGTTTTATCCGGCGCTAACGCACTATTAATTAATAAAACAAAACACAAAAAGTTTGTTCCGCCTGCGGCTTGAGTGC